AGCCGAATCAGCGCGTCAAGAACCATTTGCGTGCCGCGCTCGTTAATGTCGGAACAATCCTTCTGGTTCTCCATGCACCAATCCGCCCGGGAGACTGCCGCCAGGTGAATGACACCTGAGATATCATTTGTGAAAGCTGACGACAGCGTCGAGATATTACGTATATCACCGATATGGACTTGAAGCAGAGAAGATGCTGAAGGAGATAGTGTAGAGAGTTCTAACTCGTCCTCGTAGAAGATCGTGTCGAGAATCGTAACAGGCGTCCTGGCAGCTAATAGACGCCGAACAACGTGTTTCCCTAATTTACGCCAGATTGAGATATTACCATTCAGCCAGGCACGTTCTATGATTGAAGCGCACCAATGTTCCCTCCACCTCCAGTGATTAGTACGCGCCCAGGGTATTTCATCCTGCCGGATTGGTCTGTGTCCGACGGCGAAGACTGAGTGTCACTGCTAACACCTGACGGAACATAGGGAAAATACTAATCGATAAGTTAAACGATGTCAGTGTGTGCTAGATGTCCATACGAGCTCGAAGCGCCAACGCACTCTGGTGAAAAGAAGGAGACAATATGCAACAACCACGAAGAGGATGATCTTTTGGATAGCGGAACGCCCAAATCCCGTATTGAAAATTCCCCAGCGGCCTAGCCGATCATGGTGGCCATTCATGCTGTGCAAACCTTGAGGCAGAGGATTGAACAAGGAGGAGCTAGGCAAACTTCCAACAAGTCCTTACGAATGACTGAGGGGGCGTGTCTGCACTGGAAAGTGAATGCAAAAATACATTTGCAATTTGGATGAACACTTCGGGACAGACATTGAAGAGGAAGTTGAGGATTGAATCCAACCATGCCACATGGGAGAAATTTTCGCTATTTCTCTCATCCAATAAGTAACTCCTCCCTATAACGTGAGCCTGGTTACGGTGGTTCCTGCACAAGGTTCGTGCAAGATTCGTGGAACTAGGCAGGTTACCAGCCTCTAACTAAACCTAATATCGCCCCATAGTGGAACGGAAAAGTCACGTGCACAGCCAGGAACAAATATTTCGAAACCAACTGGAGATATGTATTTCGTGAATATATTACAATATCATAAATAAATGATCATGTGGGATACTGTACACACATGACCAACAACCGGATGGTTTTGGACCGTGACAAAATTTTATGTCGGACATTCAACCGGCAGGCCTGAATTTAGCGTGACAGCCAACCGGGAGCCAGGAACAGCGTGACAGCCAGCCTGAGAACCAGGAACAGCGTGACAACGGAAGTGCCCGGCCAGTGAATTTGAAAATAATAATTGAACTGAAAATCTCGTGTTCCGTTACACCATTCTCAAAATTTACGTGGTTTCTTTTCTGGGTGGCATTATGGATGGATTTTCTCTTGCTTGCCGCATTGCTTCTTGTGCTGATGAAGCTATCACATACAAAAATCTTCCTGCCTTTCTCATCGGACCCTACTTCCCTCACGAAACCCTGTCCATCAGGGAATTCATTTCCTTCCAACTTCCTCCCATTCAAACCCCCACAAAAAACCCTGGGGCATGCCTCAATCATAAACCACCATCTATGGATCTACTCTCAGAGGATGATGTCTGTGCAGTGGATTGTCCTAGCTGACTAGAAATGAGGGAACTCATCACAGAGTTTGAGATCAATGATGAGAGCTCTCTTACCTCGGTTGAGATTGCCTCTAGTTGCATCCCAATACTCATTCTGGAAATTTGGAAGATCCATTTCCAGTTATTGGATCTTCAAAATTTGTGGAATGACTCGCTTTGGCAGGCAGAGGATTCGATAATGTGTTACCCCAGTCAGTGATTTGCAATAGAGGCAGCCCAATGGAGACTTACTTCATGTGGGTGGAATGAAGAGATCCGAGGGGTTTCACACATGGGATGGTGCACCATTGGGGCTTTGATGCAATATATCTCTGTTTTGTGCCTGGTCACAACAGATATTATTCATCATATTGGAATTTTACAAAGCAATGTAGAAACTACGAACCCAATGGTTAGGCTGATAACCCCGCTTGAGACACAACTTCTTGCTGGATGTGCTTCTCAAGGGAGTGCAATCCTTGCAGCATATAAACGGCTACCCACTTGTCAACGAAAACCATTGGATCCCTTTCATAATTGACTCAAAAGAATCAACAGTCATTCTCGCGGACTCTCTTATTTGGGATTGAACAAGCCAGTAGCATCATTCAGTGTTGCATCACTTCTCATCGGATACCAGAATGATGTTACTTCTTGCGGGTTTTTTGCATTGAATGCATTAGCACATCACTTCCTCCCAACCCGATACATGCTCCACGTAGGCAGCGACTTGATTAGCCTAAGGATCAATTTTCCAAATAATATCCTCAATCATCACAGTGCAAAGCCAGTTAGTGAACGGAGAAGCCAAAAAAGAATATAACATGCTTACCAATTTGTCTGTTAGGATGCCCATCATGTTATGCCACCACCAACAGAACCACATTTGGGCCCTCCAACTTTCCATCATAGGATCCTTGCAAAAAAGTGCCCAGCACAAATTGAAAAGTCTGGACTGCTACATTATTTCAGCTGTGCAACCCCCGAAGAATACCATGAACAAGTCTCAACCAGGTTTGAGAGAGTAAAAGAGAAATCTGAAGAACTGTGTAAGGTTGCACAACTCAAAGAAATGAAGTGGAAAGAGAGGCAACAGGAATTAGCTGCTGCAAGACAGCAGCGACTCCATGCCAAGATCACAGCAGAGCAGGTGGAAAAAAAAGATGTATGTATAGTGAACTTACTGTCAGAGCAAACAGTGCCTAATGTTTGTAGATTGCTGCCAATGAAACTCCGGAATGGAGGGCCCCAAATGGCAGTACCAGTCACGGAGATGTCGAGACCAAAACGGGGGATACAGCAACGGCTAAAGGAACAGAAGCATTGGAAGTCCACATACAAGACCATGCCAGCAGATAGGCAAAAGGTACTTAGATTAGCAGCAGCAACTAATTGGTTCCAACCAATTTTCTGGACAATCATAAGTGAAGCAGTGGAAGTGGTTGGCTGGTGTCAGGGGATGCACATGCTCGCGCAAGATGCTCCGATAACCTAGTTGTGATTAAAGCCGGGGGAAAGGGATGTCCCCATCTTAGGGTCAGCTATATACATGTAGAGTCCGGCAATAAGGAAACCAAACGGATTGCCGATAGAATCATGTGATCATAGAATGTTCCAGAACAATGCCGGAGATGATCCGGGTCACCGGGGCTTAGGTAAGCAGAGTACACGGGAATTACCGGCATACTTCCCACGCGCATATGCGCAGCCGGCATAGGGTCCAGGGTCATTGCTGATCCCTGACAGCTGGGAGATGAGACCAATAGAGATAACGAGGCAGTGCCAGTGAAGGTCTTGGAAGTTATTCCATTTGCTGAGGGCAGACGTAGTTGGGAAGTGGATAGATTGGAGTGGATCACGGCCATGTTGGTCAACAGCAGTCTTGGGAAAAGTTGCAAAGGGGAATTGTCCAGCTGGTGGTACCACTCGAAAAGGGCTCCTGGTTAGTGATCAATCAGGTGTCGAAACTAATTTTAACTCACACATGCAATGTAGGCATCATACCCAGAGATGATCGAGGGGATCAAGAAGATATTATTGTCAGGGCCCGGCCCTTGTTCCGTGACAGGGCCAGGGAGATCCTCCTGGCTGCTGGGGTGTCTAGTCCCAGTCCGAGATCCTCAAACTCACTGAGGGGGCTAGCCCCAGCCTTCACAGGAAATGAGTTGAGAAGAAGGGTAACCTTCTCAACCTCCTGTGAAGCCGCTACAAATGGGAGTCGGGAACTATACAGTTTTCGGCTCTTTGCCGACTTTCCATAATTGGCACCCCCCGTGGGAAGATTCTGGGCGAGCTGCTCACCCAGAAAGTTCCCACGGTTGTGGCTGTGATGGTTTCTGGGCGAGTAACTCGCCCAGAACGTTCCCACGGGTCTGCATGCATGCGGGAATGTGGAACAGTGAAGGGAAAAATAGGAGGAAATGGGGGAAGGGTACCTGAGGGTGTGTGGGGTCGGGGGCTGTGCCCTGACAATTATTTAGTATTCGACAAACAGGTGTCGCTCTTGATGTGCACCAGATCCGTGGTGTGATCATTGCACATATCCAGTATACTTGCCCCAAAATATTTAGGACCATAGTCAATAGAGATGGAAGTACATTCCCCGCCAGCACACAATGGATATGGAATTTTCTCACCAAGGAGATGAACTGGAGTCTATGATGGGCAACATGTGCTGCCCAGAAGCTCCCTGCTAACGCTGATTATCAGCTTCATGCCTCACTCCTCCGTCATGCCTACTCTGTTCGCCACTACTGCATTCCCAGCAACCTGCGAGTGAATTCTGATCAAACCCAAATCATTTACCAACAAGGTTCACAATCAACTTACAAAACAAAAGGATCACAACAAGTTTCAACTCTTGGCTGAGATGAGAAGCATGCATTTACCCTCAACATAGCTATCTCAGCAAGTGGGGCTCTTCTACCTTTCCAGGCCATCTTCAAAGGAAAGACCACAGCTAGTCTTCCCACCAAAAACTCCCTTTCTCATGACAAAGCAAATCAACTCGGTTTCCTCTTCGAACACTCAGGCACTGACAACTACTGGGCAAATTTAAAGACAATGAAATCATTTGTCACAAATCTCCTTGCCCCATACTTTACTGCCATGAAGGAGCATTTGGGGCTTGATCCGCTTCAAGAATGCATGTGGCAACTTGATGTCTGGTCCATTCACGCTTCACTTGAATTCTGAACTTGGATTTTTGATAACTATCCCTGGATAATCCTGGACTATGTTCCTGGAGGGTGCATGGGCTTATGGCAACCTTGCGATGTGGGTATTTAACGCTTACTCAAGCTCACAGTGAAGCAATCTCAGCAAACTGTGATTGTACATGAGGTCTTCTCTCAGTTACAAAAAGGTGCTGGCCCATGCAATATCATGCTTGATATGAAGCTTGGCACACTGTGGGACCATGTCCCTGCCACTCTGGTTGAGGCATTCCCCAGCGAATCCAAAAGGTAAGTTACATTTCAGACTGATGCTACGCTGGATTTACAACCACATAGGCTTTTGAATTGTGCTGCTCAGGTAAATTCAATCTATCTCATTCTAGCCTCACATCCCCCTCACTGCATGCCATTCTTGATGATCTTCCACATCAAGATGCCACTCTCGCTCGAGCCATAACTGCACCACACAAGCATCCCATTGATGACAGTGGAATTCATCCTAATTCCACTGCATTAGTCCATGAAGACCAATACTCTGAGACTGTTGAAGATCTGTAGAGGTAGAATTGGATGATGTTTGTAAGCATCTTGATGGAGAAGCCCTCCCTGATGGACTTGCAGAGATGAATGGTGGTCTTCAGCTGGATGTGACAGCAGTGGAAGGTGACACAGAATCCATTGGAGAAGCCATTGTACTAGTTGATAGTACTTGTGATGGGTTGAGATGTGGTAAACGAGTGAAAAGGATGAGAAATCTAGAAAAAGAGTTCAAGAAGTACCAGTTTTGATTTTTTTAATTACCAATTTAGGAAAAATTGAATTGAAAATTGCACCGCCACTGGGAGCCACCCAAAGACCATGATGCCGGACATCGTGACTGCAAAGCCACTGTGACGTGTGACAAACTTCTGAAAAGTGCCCAACCAGAAGGCCTGCATGACATGTGACTGGTTGTTGGTTGTGTGCGTACAGTAGTCCAATCTGGATTGCTTGACTCTGAATCGAATCTGAACCACAGGAGCAGCAACAAGTATTGCAGTGACAAGTACTGTACTGGCACAACCAACAACTGGCTGGGTTGGGAGTGTGACAAAAATTTTGTTCAGACATTCTGACCAGCATGGCTGCATGATGCATGACAGTCAACTGGCAACCTTGGGAACTGCATGACACAACCAGGTGTTTTATATCCGTAAAATATGCAGAAAATTTTCGTTCTGTCCTGCCTTTCAAGTCATTATGGATGGGTTTGCTCTTGCCAGTCACATTGCTTCATGTGCAGAGGAAACCATCACACTGTTAGCAATATAGATACCAATTTAGGAAAATTTGAATATAATGTTTGCACAGCCACTGGAATCCGCCCAAATAGCGTGACACCGGACTTTTGAACTGCTATACTCATGTGACATGTGACCGGTTGTTGGTCATGTCAGTACAGTATTACATCGCCATCTCCCCAACCTATTTTTTAAAAATATACACATACCCAATACACAGCCACCAACCCCAACCCAACGCCCTGACCCAATACCCAACCCGTGTAAATCATCAGCCTAGCAGCGGTTGTGACTTAGATAAATAAATTATTGACAACTGAAAAGTCGCTAAACTAAGGGAGACTGGGCATGTAAGACAAAAGAAACAAGCACATGCCATGAAAGCCACAGACCCAGGAAGAAGGGCAATCTTGGGGGGCACAATGTCAGGGCCCAGCCTTGGACTTGGAGGCTCCCCGACCTCAACCCCCCATCTAACCTGTCCTCACACTATGCAGGGCATGAGATGAGAAGAAGGGTAAAGGTCTCATCTCCCCGCATGGTTGCTATATAAAGGAATGGGTCACATGCCCACAACTATACAGCTCCTAGAGTTGTGTAGTGTGACCCGGAGGGAACACCAGGTGGCAGTGCCCAGTAAGTGTGGGAATGTTCTGGGCGAGTTGCTTGCCCAGAACTGTGGCTGTGACCCGTGGGAACATTCTGGGCGAGCTGCTCGCTCAGAAAGTTCCCACGCTATCCCGTGCACATGGATACACAACACAGAAAGGCAACAACAAGGCAACAATGAAGGAATGGAAGGAAGGGATTGGTTAGGGAGTCTGGGGCACCCTAGGGCAGGGTGCTGAACCCTGACACACAACTAGCCACCTGGCAGGACCAAATCCCAGCCCCACCTGCCACACCAGGGTGGGGCCTACAAAGATTGAGAGGGACAAGGCCCAGATACACCTTCCAGTGGCTAAGACACCCCCAAACCAAATCAAAATTAAGAAAAAAAAAAAAAAAAAAAAAAAAAAAAGGGAAAAAACCCAATAAAGATGAAACTGTACACTAATCAGACGGTATGAGCACTTAGTGAAAACGGCCGGAAACCGAGCTGGTCCTGGCCTATAGATTGATGCGTGTGGGCATTGTGCGACCTGTCTTGGTAATATACAAAGAGATACGATGATGCTAAAAGGATTGGTCAACAATGACAAATCGAGAAAACAGATACAAACACAGATACATAGTATCGGGGTGGTGAAAAAGGGGAGGAGGTGGGTGGACGCAACAAACAGAAGAATAAACGCTAGAAGCAGAACTGAGGCAGCACGAGTGCTGCAGTAAGACTCCGCAAGGAGTAAGCACAAGTGAGATGAACTCACTAGGATGCACAGCGCGACAAAAGATTGAGGGGAAACTTCAATGCAGACAACTTGTCTGAAGCGCACATGTAAGTTTCCGGCCCCATTGCAACCAAGTGAGGACTTACCAGTCCCAATGGAGCAAACGCGAAGGCAGCACTGAGGGAGCGGGGAGAAGGGACAACACACGTGAAAATCACGTGAAGACAATAAACGCGAGGACTAGTGAACACCCGCAAGGTCCCATCAGCGCTGCAAAAACGCAGGACCATGCGGCACCATTCAGCGCTAGATACCATTGTGATTAGTCGTGTGAAATAAGGATATTAAACCATGATATATCCCAGCCCCAACCGACCCACTGCAACATGTGCCCCCCTGAACTTGTTAAAACCCTAAACCTGTATGCAACATGAGCCATGTAGTAAGCCCAGATGCCTATCATGAACTGCCCAACATCAGCAAACTTGGTAGGGAGCTCTCAGAGCTCACAGAGCTCTGTGAGCAAATTGAGTCTTTTTGCTGTGCACCCTCTACACATTGGGTGGAGAAAATTAAATGTTTGAATGATTTTGTTCTCCTAAGGATACAGAAGTGCAAAGATAATATGGATATATGTGTGTGTAAAATGGCCATTGTCATGGCTCTGAAAGCTCATATACCTTTTGTGTTTACTAAAATCAGCACCTTATTTGTTTATTGCTATTTACAAAATATGAGGAAAACTGTGAAATTCAAAAATTTGCACTTTATCTTTCATCTCATTTCTTGCTCAAAACTCAACCAATTTTGATGATTCTATGTGAATTGGAAAGCACCAAAGTGTGGCAATGTAACCATGCATGTTATGTAGGGTATAAATCAGTTTTAAAAAAGTGTTCCAAATGAAGTAAATTAAAAATACCACCCAATAAAGCAAACAAAAAGCTGATGTATTCTTCAGATATCATCCAAGCCTTTGACACCAAATTTCCCATGGTCAAAAAGCCATGGTTATTTGGCTCACCAAAACATGGTGGGAGACTTTTCTAACACTGAAACATACATTGCTACATTGCCCCACTTTGGCACTTTCCAATACACATTGAATTATCAAAAAAGTGATTTAATTTCTTTTCCAATTATTCCTAATTTCCTGAAATATCTCTCCCTAACTTATCCCAAATTTTCTGATTTTTTGGACATTCTCCATTTTTAGAAAGTCCCCCATTTTCTGAAATTTCCTTAATTTTCCCTGACTTTTTAGAAACCCCCCAGTTCCCCTTCATTTTCCTCCCATTTTCCCCTTCATCCCCCCCCTCAATTTCCCCCCCATCCCCCCCTTCGATTTTCCCCTCATTCCCCCCCCATTCCCCCTAAATACTCAGGGAGCTCATATAGATAATAGTCCCCTGTGTGCAAATATAGCTCTATGAGCTTTGACTACTTTGGGGAGCTCTGAGAGAAGGGGACCTGCAATTTCAAAGTACTGAAGCTCTGAGAGCTCTGAGAGCTCTATGAGCTCTCAGGCCTCCACATCCAGGTTTGCTGATGCAGAAGGACTAGAACTTCTGTCAGAGACCGGGTCGAGACGAAGGAGTGTCTCCATAACGGAGGGCTTCAGCCTCAGCGACTTATGCCAGGAGTGCTGTGCCTAGTAAACACATCCGTGCCCTAACTTACTAACTGGCCACCAGAACTGAAGAGGGTAAACTCTAGTCGATTTTATTACTGAAGTGTAACCTATGTACAAGCTGGATATATATATGGTTACAGCGAAGATGGATCCGCAAATGGCGGAGCCGAATGGAGCAGAGCTAACAGGGTTAAACATTAGCCGACTGAATATTACCGATGAGTCGGGTTATGGGGTTAATGGAAAGGCAGGCGATAACCCAGAAATGGAAAGGAGGGATAGGCCCGAAGGTGGGCTTTGCAGGGCAAGCGAGTGTATTGCCCAGCAGAGGTGGGAGTGCGCTAGCGGACGTCGGAGCTGTCCGGAAGCCTTCGGGGCTCCGTACTTAGGGAGGCATAGGTAATAAATTGAAAGGAGGGGGTGGTGACCATCGAGGGGTACTGAGGGAGTTGCGGAATATGGGAGCTCTGAGGTTAGTGGAGAAGGAGCAGGAGTAATCGGAGGAAGCAGAGGTACCAGAAGTCGTTGGCCAGGGATGGATATGACAACTTCCAGACGTACCACATCTGGAAGGACTCTCCATGAACAGCCCTGAGTTTGAAATACTCAGGGAGTGGCAGAGAGAGAAATTTGAAACCATAATGGTGCCAGCGCCATTAGAGATGCCTCCCTTAAGGGAGGTGAACCATCGAATCCCGCTAAAGGATCCGAACAAGAAATTTCAGGAAAACACCCCGAGATGTCCTGCAGCACTGCAGGAAGCACTAGTGACCAAAATAGATTGCTATGTAAAAGCAGGATGGTGGTATCCCATGGGCAGCAAGCGAGCATGCCTGCTACTGTGCATCCGCAAAGCAGATGGATCTTTGCACATGGTAATCGATGCGAGGAACCATAATTCAAACATGATTCTCAACGTCACACCAATGCCAGACATGCGACTGATCCAAGAATCAGTTGCCAGAGCAACATACCGATCCAAGATCGATATGTTGGACATGTCATATCCGTGCATACCCGACCCCGACCCGACTTCCGGACCTCCACCCTCTTCACCTCCGGAGTCATAACCTACCGCTGCCGTTCCGATACTCACCTTCGGTCCTGGCAACACACACCCTCCTACTACTCCGCTCCCCCTTCACAACACCTCCACTCTCCCGTCATCCTCCTACGCTTCCCCCGTCCGCTCCGATACTCACCTTCGGACCTGACTACTCTCCTTTCCGCCACTCCTTCTCCCCTTACCTGTCCCCTCTCTCTCCTCCCTCCGTTACTCCTCCGCCACCCTTCCGCCAAGTTACGACCTTCCAC